GTAGAGGGGAAGGAGAACCTCCCTCGACCTGCTGGCCACACTCCTCCTAATGCACCCCAGGATCCCATTGGCTTTCTTGGCAGCCAGGGCACACTGCTGGCTCATGGTTAACCTGTCGTCCACCAGCACACCCAGGTCCCTCTCCGCAGAGCTGCTCTCCAGCAGATCCGGCCCAAGCCTGAAGGCACCTGGAGAGACATTTATGTGGTGAAGGCTAAGCTCTGGACAATATGGGAGGCCGTTACCAACCTGGCAGTGCTCTTTTCAGTGTCTGCCTCCTCACCTTGCTCTGTAGTCCTCTGCCCACTGATGGAGATCTTTTCATTCTGGGAGGGTGGGGGAAGGCAGATAGCCTTAGAAGATGGTGTCTGTTGCTCTGGGGAAAAAACAAACCAAGGCCAAAGCCGTGAGCAGGGAGAAAGTCAAATCACACAAGGAGCTTCTGGGCCAGCCTGTTTTTCCCTCCTCAAATGCATGATGGGCCCTTTGGAGGTAACGGCGAGGTTGATCGGCATTGGCCAGATCTGGGGCTCTTCCCTGCCGGAGGCGTGGGCGAGGCGGGCTGGCGACGGTGTACTTCAAGCCCAGAGGAGCACCCTCGAAGTAGTTCTGCTGGGAGATGACAACAGAAGGCACCTCGTTAGCATCCCTCTTTAAGCAGTACCCAGGCTGTCAGCCATACAGCTCATACAGACCAAAAGTCACTAATTTAATTTTGAGGGGTGGAAGAAATGTCCAGGTCCCCAAAAAACATAGGCAGGAACTGAGCTGCCTATAGCACTAGTGACGGCACCTGGAGAGTATTTCTGGCTAGTAACATCTCTGTGCGCATGTCATGGGAGTTCTGTGCTTTGCTCCAGCCCCAGAGAAGAGTGCCAGCTTTTGCCTCAGTGTTACTGATTCATTCCACAAAATATAATTTTGTCAGCACCCAATTGCCAGAAAATGTCAGCTCTGCTGTTTAAAGGAGCTAGAAAGTTTTCTCAATAAAATTTATATACATTCAGTGTTTTTTAAAATATTAGTACTGTGTGCTCTGTGGTCTATTCATTTTTTACAGAAAACATTCTGGTTACAGATTGTCTTCTCTAAGGTGGCACTCAAACTCATGCTATGGCTTTATTTGCCATGGTGTGGCAATGCTGTGGCATTTGTCATGGCAGTAACTCCAAGGGTCATGAGATTTTGATTCAGACTCTACAGGTTTTGCTTCAGACCAAAGACAAGGACCTGTCATCTTTGTATAAACATGTAATTCCACAAAGCACTCGCATCTCCTAAAAATACCTTGTCTAACCAAACAACACAACAAGTCCTTTGACATGCAGTAAATGAGATAAATGTTATTTGGATATTTGCCCAACCGTATTTTTTTTTGTTATCATCATTTGAAGGGTTAAATGTAGCAGAGAAGTTTCTTTCATTGCTTCCCTAACAGCCAAGGTGGCCATCCAAAATGCCAAATGCTTTGTTAAAAGGATTGCATGTACAAGTCAGTAACTTCAGGGTACTGAAAATCTTCGTAACTACTTCCATATATCATGAAATATTGTTGTTTTTCCATCAGCCACTTGTCCTGAATAAAAGGTATTCCCACCCAAGGAAAAATGACCTCACATCATGATTGTTTTGTGTTACAGCCATCATTTATATTTTTTTTTATAGAGACAAGGTTCATGTCTTGGAATGCAAGGTTAGATGTTTCTCTGTACTTCTGGTTCCTATTGTCAGTGATGATTCCACTGATAACAGAACAGTATACCCTTTCTTTGGGTGGGGAAATATATTTGTGTTGCACTAGAAATGTCTGGTTAAAAGAAACACAAGAAATTAAACCACAAAATCTAAAAAGGGAAGTTTATATGTACTTTTTGTAGAAGCAGATCTGTAATAAAAACAATAAAATCCAGTGTTTAGGCTTTAATGAATTAGTTTAATGACCAGGTGCAGCAATAAACACCTTTCCAGTTTGATTGTCTTAACTCCTCCATCCAGTGATTAATTGTTCTATGAAAGACAAACACATTACATTATACTGTAAGTATAAAATTCTGTTTTAAAAGATTACACCAGTGCAGTTTGATTGGTTTTCAACGTGTTCAGAATTGAAAAGGACATTTCAAGGATTCTCCGTTTGTAACTACTTCTCGCATATATTCAGGACCAAGGCAATAACTGGCCAGTACTTCCTTTCTCATATTCCACTTTGGCCTTGCTTGCATTTATATTCCATTTAAATAAACAGTAATGCAATACTGTGGTATCACAACTTGTTTTCATTGGAAACACCATGGAAAATACAGGATGAAGACTGTTCTTCACTTAAATTGTGGGAAAAATTAGAACTTTATTAAAAAGTCTTGTAACTGGTTCCCATGCATGATGGAACATACATTTATGTATTATTACTGAAGTCATACTCACTGCAGATAACAGAACAGCCACAAAGACAGTGATTTAAAAAATATTTTAGATATGAACTACCTTTTATCTCATGACCAACAAGTGGAATAATTATATGAAAAATCTCCAATTCATCCACTCCTCTTCTTACACAGCTACGCTTCTTTTCTCAAAGAAGACTGAAAAAGGAACTGTATACGACACTAGCGTAAAGAAATCCATGCCACAGTGCAGGATGTATCTGTATCAGAAGTATGAACTTCATTTGTGTTTGGAGTTCCATTTTATTTCACTTTGTGTTGTAACCTCCATTGGAGCACGTTACCTTCAGTTTTGTTACAGAACCACAGAACGGTTGAGGTTGGAAGGGACCTCTTGAGGTCATCCTCCTGTTTAAGAGGGTCACCTAGAGCCAGTTTTCCAGCACGATGTCCAGCTGGCTTTTGAAAATCTACATCCAAGTCGGGAGATTCTCCAGCCTCGCTGGGCGACTTGTAACAGGGCTCAGCTACCCTCACAGTAGAAGTGTTTCCTGATGTTTAGACAGAACATCCTGTTTGTGCCAACTGCCTCTTGTCCTGTCACTGGGCACTCCTGAAAAGAGCCTGGCCCCCTCTTCTTTACACCTTCCCTTCAGCTATTTCTGTACATTGATAAAATTCCCCCAAGAATTCTTTTCTCGAGGCTAAACATTCTCAGCACTCTCAGCCTCTTCTCAAGAGAGATACTCCAGTTCCTTAATCATCTTAGTAGTCCTTTGCTGGACTGTCTCCAATAGCTCCATAGAAAGCTTGTACTGGGGATTTTGGATTATTTTATTTTGGATCAAAACAGTTGTTCTGGGATGATGCCTTTTTTAAAAAAATCAACCCAATCTAGCAGTTCTTCCTTTAATGATTTCGCTGATGAGCCCATTCAGAGAAACAATAGATTCCTGAACTGGAACAGGAGCAGAGGCAAGTTCAGGACAATATCTTACTTTCAGTCATCTGTGGTTCTAAATACTGTTAACAAGATGTGTTAACGGCTACTGCATATTCCTTTTCTAAGCTGGTAGCCTTTGATGCCGTGAAAAGCCGGAATTGCGGACTCAATAGTCGGCAGACTATTAAGCAGGAATTCTTTATTGCGGCGCCGGGAACACAGGGGATCTCTCCTCCAAACGTGTGCGCCAAACACCCTGTCATTTCAGGTTAAATACAATCACAGTATACATATTCATTATATTTCCGAGAAATGCTTAGCATATTCATGGATTTTCCAAGAACTAATTAGCATATGTTAATGTCTTTCACGCATGTCTGTTAGCATCCTCGGGTGGTCTTTGGGGTGTCTCAAGATGAAAGCTTATACTCCTCATTGCAGTGTCTGCTGTTTGACCTTTGTTTCTGCACAGACTCAGTTCTATGATCACATACACTGTGTCCTTCCAGGTTGTTTTGCTCTGGTCTTGTTGCCCTCTTGGTGCCTCTTTATCTCTGTAGCTTGGTGCATCTGCCCTCCCAAGGCTGAGCTGTCCAAATAACATTATTTAGGAGTCTCTATTTTCGAGCTTTCCTATCCCTCCCCAAAACAGCAAGTCAAGTTTGTCTAAGTAGCATTATTTAGGAGCCTGTTTATCTTAGAGCTTTCCTGTCTTCTCAAAACAGCAAGGATCTACTTCAGTTTAATTACAGTCACTCTGGTAAGTGGAAATTTTACATTTACAGGTAGCACCTTTGTTTTCTTGCCATGTTTTCCCACAGCCACTGGAGAGCCCAGAGCAATTGGAACTCCACAGAAATGTTTATGTACTCAGAAAAAGGAGGCACTAATATCAAGATGCAGAGCAGCTGGATGACAGCATCCTACTGGAAAGGAAAAGTGCCACCTGTAAGAGCTCTGCAGATATCTAGAGCTTAAGGGTAGTATTTAGTCACCGTCCAGTCTCAGGAAGCTGGATGTAGTCACCTTGGCCGCTGGGAGAAATAGGTCATGATTTGAAAGGAAAGACTGGACGGACATAATTTAAACTGCAACTAGGTGAAATCAACAATGTTAAGGCTTGTGTGGTGTATAGTAAGTGTAATGTAAAATGAACATCAGGTTTTTTATGCCTTGATGTACGAGAGCCAAAGATCTAATGTTAGGCTGAATATTTTTTATTATTGGGCTTCAAAAACTTGTGTAATTTTACAGTGGTTAGCACCCACTAACATAGGGGTTGTCAGGTGGAGCCCTGCACCCAGCTCTGGAGCCCTCAGCACAGGACAGACATGGACCTGTTGGAGCGGGGCCAGAGGAGGCCACAGAAATGATCCGAGGGCTGGAGCACCTCTGCTGTGAGGAAAGGCTGAGAGAGTTGGGGCTGCTGAGCCTGGAGAAGAGAAGGCTGCGGGGAGACCTTATAGCAGCCTTCCAGTACTTAAAGGGGACTTCTAAAGAAGATGGAGAGGGACACTTTATCAGAGCATGTAGTGATGGGACAAAGGGTAATGGTTTTAAAATGAAAGACAATAGATTTAGATCAGATATAAATAAGAAATTCCTTACTGTGAAGGTGGTGAGGCACCGGAACAGGTTGCCCAGAGAAGCTGTGGCTGCCCCCTCCCTGGCAGTGTTCAAGGCCAGGTTGGATGGGGCTTTGGGCGTGGCTGGGCCAACCGGTTCTAGTAGAAGGGGTCCCTGCCTATGGGAACTAGATGATCTGCGAGTTCCCTTTCAACCCAATCCATTCTGTGATTCTATGATTTTCCTGCTTTATCCAGAAGAGCCAATTAGGCAATACAAACATGAATTGAGATATTTCATTAAAGCACTCATTTAGATATTCAAATAGGAAAACCTCAGTCAAATGTTTCAATGATATTAAAGAAAATGGGCCTGACTATTTTGTGTCATTCTCTCGTACTTGGTGGTCTGGCCACATCTGAGTCAAGCAGTTGTGCATTCCCAGGCCAGGGTGGGCAACTGTCGCAAACATCCGTCTTGAGAAACTGAGAAAGATGCTTGAATTAAGCAAACTCCTAAAATCGGGTATTGTGCTTTGGGAACTTCTTCATCTTGATAAGGGAGTGTGGAAGATGAGTGAAAACCTGCAGAGGCAGGGTGTCGGCTTGTGAAACCCACCTGGTGGCCCGTGAGGAGGGGATTTAACCTGCTCCGTGGGGGGGGGGGGGGGGGCTGTGAGATCTCCATGGCACCCCAGCCCCCCGGCCACT